ATAATAATAATAATAATAATTTTAATTTATATACCGCCCTTCTCCCATAGGACTCAGGGCGGTTCACAGCATATTTAAAAACAGATACTATACACAAATACAAAAATACAAAAACACCAAAAATATAAACCCCAATAAAAACCGAATTAAAAACCAAATATTGACGGCTGTGTTTCCAATTAAAATTGCTGTTAAAACCATCCCTACCTAAAATCCTCCCTAGGTCAGGCCCGCTTGCTGGAAAAGCCATGTGGAAATGTTGGGTTCAATTCTAGACATAAATCAAAGATTACCCCTAGTTCAGGGGTAGGCCACCTTGGCTCTTTTATGACTCGTGGACCTCTCCCTTTCCCCTCAGCATGGCTGGCTCAGGAATTCTGGGAGTTGAAGTCCACGAGTCATAAAGCGGCCTAGGCCTAGGGCAGGGGTGGGCAACCTTGGCTCTTTTATGGTTCATGGACTTCAACTCCCAGAATTCCTGAGCCAGCGTGGGGGAATTATGGCCCCTTCATGACTCGTGGACTTCAACTCCCAGAATTCCTCAGCCAGCATGGCTCAGCTTGGAAACCTCTCCCTTTTCCCTCAGCGTGGCTGGCTCAGGAATTCTGGGAGTTGGAGTCCACTCATCTTAAAGTTGCTGAGGTGGAGAAACAATGGACTAGGCCAGGGATAGGCAACCTTGGCTCTTTTATGACGCATGGACTTCAACTCCCAGAATTCCTGAGCCAGCCATGCTGAGGGGAAAGGGAGAGGTTTCCAAGCTGGGCCATGCCGCCTCAGGAATTCTGGGAGTTGAAGTCCACCAGTCATAAAAGGGCCAAGTTTGAAGACCCCTGGATTAAAATATATATGTATGGGTGTATGTGTATATATGTATGTATGTATGTATGTATGTATGTATATATATACCACGTGTATATGTGTGTTATGTATGTGTGTGGGTAGATATATACTTTCCTTCGAGAGCAGGCAGCAGAATTTCATTTTTAATGTGAGCCTGTATGCTCATAGTAAAAAAATGACAATACTAAAGGTTCTCTTATCTTCCTTTATAAAAAAACCGTACGACTTTCTAGGACTTAGAGAGTTAGTTGCATTTCTCACGGTGCCCTTTTTTCGTGTGCAGGAAAGTGCAGGAGGTCCCCCTCCTTCCATCTTTGGATTATGAGAAGTTAAAGAAAGACCTGATCGACGGAAGTGACCGCCTCAAGGCTTTCTTGCTACAGGCCTTGCGTTGGGTAAGTCTCGCTACAAATCCGGGGGTGTCCAAGCTTGGCGATGGCTTGTGGACTTCAACTCCCAGAATTCCCCGGCCCGCCAAGCTTTTCCGACCTTCTTGCAAGCAAAGCCGATGGCGGGAAAGCCACATTGACTCAATCCATCCCTTTATTATTACAGCCAAAGGCCAACACATAAATTAAACATTCAAATAGAACAGCGGTGGCGAAGCTATGGCACGGGTGCCAGAGGCGGCACTCAGAGCCCTCTCTGTGGGCACGTGCACCATCGCTTCAGCTGGGTTTTACAAAACCTTTTCGCTTTAGGTCTCCGCTGCCGTGTGCAAAAAAAAAAAAAAAGGTTCAATCAATCAGTCAATTTCAACTTCTCGCGGGGAAAAAAAAAGATCTTGCAAAGTTGGAATTGATTGATTGAACTTTATAGTCCCACCCAGTCTGCGGTTACCCCCGCAGCCACACCCTCCCAATGGGCCATGCCCAGCCAATGGGCCACACCCACCTGGCACCTGACGATGCATAAGTGGGTCTTGGGTTGCAGTTTGGGCACTCGGTCTCTAAAAGGTTCGCCATCACTGAAAGTAGAACAAAACTAAACAGAACCACACGGAAGAAGTCATAGCAATATATTACAATTAATGATGCAATCAATGGGTGACCAAGGTCTGCCTAATTTTACAGACAGTATAACAAAACCTAGCTACCTTCAGAAAAACGGAATCGTACTGACGTTGAGTATAGTCTAAGCCGCATTGACCTAACAACTAAGTTACTAACTTAACAGCTGCGGCAAGAAAGGTCGTACAAACTGGGGCAAAACTCACTTAACAAACGTGGGGCTCAATTGTGGTCCTACGTAGAGGATCACTGGTACGTCTCTTGTTTCTTTTGCAGCGTTTGACAACTTCCCATCCGGGCGAACAGCGGGACACGGTTCTGCAGGCTTATATCAACAACGATCTTTTGGATTGCTACAGTAACGGCCAGGTTAGTGAGGGGCGGTCTTGATGTAGATCAAAGACTGAAAACATCTCTCTAAGGGGATTGATTTGCAACTCTTGACTTTTTTTTTAATCCCACTCCACAAATTCCCTTCTTTTTCTCCCAGACAGGGAGTCTTTGACTTGCTGTCAACACCCAGCTTGAGAATCCAAACAAACGTTCATTCTGTCTCCGAAAATCTTATTGTTTATTGAATTCACTGCATGGTATTATTATTATTATTAATAATAATAATAATAATAATAGTAATAATAATAGTAATAATAATAAAGTTGGAAGGGACCTTGGAAGTCATCTAGTCCAACCCCCTGCTCAGGCAGCAAACCCTAAACCAGGAGTAGGCAACCTTGGCTCTTTTATGACTGGTGGACTTCAACTCCCAGCATTCCTGAGCCAGCATGGCTCAGCTTGGAAACTCCCCCTTTCCCCTCAGAACGGCTGGCTTAGGAATTCTGGGAGTTGAAGTCCACAAGTCATAAAAGAGCCAAGGTTGCCTACCCTGGCCCTATACCATTTCAGAGAAATGGCTGTCCAGTCTCTTGTTAAAAACGTCCAGTGTTGGAGCATTCACAGCTTCTGGAGGCAGGTTGTTCCACTGATTAATTGTTCTAACTGTCAGGATATTTCTGACAGGTTGCTTCTCTCCTTGATGAGTTTACATCCGTTGCTTCTTGTCCTGCCTTCAGGTGCTTTGGAGAATAGCTTGACTCCCTCTTCTTTGGGGCAGCCCCTGAGATACTGGAAGGCTGCTATCCTGTCCCCCCTGGTCCTTCTCTTCATTCAACTAGACATCCCCAATTCCAGCAACCGTTCCTTATATGTTTTAGCCTCCAGTCCCCTAATCATCTTGGTTGCTCTTCTCTGCACTCTTTTCTATTGTCGAAGCAAAACTAACTCTGAGGTTCCCAGACACCACTTCATCGATTTAAACAATAATAATTTTCCCCAGCCAAACCCGCAACGTCTTACTTAGTCCATAGAAACAAATTCACTTTGTTATGGGAACGGTCCGCTTCAAATCCACACCTGTTCTAGAGTCCTTGAAAGGGTTTCAGGCTTTCACAATCTTCAGCCAAATCGTAGAAGTTTCGTTTCTCCATCTAACTCACTCCAAAGTAACACCTCCCCCCCCCTTACTCTAAAGGCAAGTTGAAATGCAGAGGCACACAGCTGCCAACTTTTCATCCTTGACCCTTACGACGGTTCCTTTAGCGACCGTTTGAAGTCACAACGGCGCCGAAAAAAGGGGCTCAGGGTCGTCTTTTTCACACTTACGACGGTTGCAGCATCCCCGTGGCCACACGATCAACGTTCAGAAAAACCTGGCAACTGACTCCTATTTATGACGGTTGCACTGTCCCGGGGTCGCGCGATAACCTTTTCTGACCTCCTGACAAGCTAAATCAATAGGGAAACTCAATTTGCTTAACAATCAGATTTCTAACTTAACGACTGCAGTTGATTCACTGAACAACTAGGGGAAAGAAAGTTTGTCAAATGGGGCAAAACACTCTTAACAACGGAAACTTTGATGCTCAATTGTGATCGTAAGCCGAGGACTACCTGTACACAGTCCCTTTATAGAGAGTACAGATTAACAGAATTGGAAGGGACCTTAGAGGTCTTCTAGTCCAACCCCCTGCTGAAGGAACTGCAATGATTCACTGAATAACGTGGCCCCCAAAAATGCTGTAAAATTAGGCACCACTCACTTAAGAATAGTCTTGCTTAAGCAGTGGAAATTTTGGTCCCAGTATGTGGTCGTAAGGCGAGGACTACTTGTGTGGATGGCTGTAGCTTTTATTTTCTGTCAAGAGTACTCCAGAATTAACTGCGACCATTTCAATTTGGGGTGTGTGTGTGTCTCTTGCAGAGAAGCTTCCTGATGCTGATCCAGTCCAAGTGCGAGGTCGTTCGCCAATACACCGCCAGGCTCATCAATGCGTTTGCCTCCTTGGCTGAAGGTAAGAGGTGGAGCATGAAGGCAGCTGCTGCTATAGAATGGAATGGAACGCAAAATAGAACAGAATGTAGAATAGAATAGAAATAAAAATACAAAATAAACAGAGTAGAGTAGAATAAGAAATAAGAAATAAGAAATAAGAAATAAGAATAGAATAAGAAATAAGAATAGAATAGAATAAGAAATAAGAATAGAATAGAATAGAATAGAATAGAATAAGAAATAAGAATAGGATAGAATAGAGTAGAGTAGAGTAGAATAGAATAGAATAAGAAATAAGAATAGAATAGAATAGGAAATAAGAATAGAATAAGAAATAAGAATAGAATAAGAAATAAGAATAAGATAGAATAGAGTAGAATAGAATAAGAAATAAGAATAGAATAGAACGCAGAAGAGAAGAGAACAGAATAGAATAGAATAAAGAAGAAAAGAAGGCGGAATGGAATGGAATGGAATAGAAGAGAAGAGAAGAGAACGTAGAAGAGAAGAGAAGAGAAAAGAGAAAACGCAGAAGAGAAGAGAACTTGAAATAGAACAGAATAGAACACAGAATACAATACAATACAATACAATACAATACAATACAATACAATACAATACAGGCCTCAAATCAGCTCATTCATCCTTGCTACTCAGTAGTACAGGTAGTCCTCAACTTACAACCATCCACTTAGTAACCATTCGAAGTTACAACAGCACAGAAAAAAAGTGACTTACAGCTGATTTTCACACTTATCACTTTGAACGGTCACTAAACACATGGTTGTAAGTCAAGGACTCCCTGCATCTGCTAAGTGCTATGCAAAAGGACTCTGGGCCCGAGGGAGGGAAAAACTGAGTCCTACGGGAGAAGGGCGGGATATAAATCCAAAAAATAAATAAAATAAATAAAAAAACGGGCAATACAGGTAGTCCTCCACTTACGACCACAATTGAGCCTCTCTCCCTCTCTCTCTCTCCCTCTCCCTCCATTGCTCTCGTTCTCCTTCCATTCGTCCCAGGCCGGCTCTACCTTTCCCAGAATCCCCGGCTGCTCCGGATGCTGGAAGGAAGGTTGAAAGCGGAAGATAAGTACTCCCTTACCCGGGAGAACGTCCTGGGGGCTCTGCAGAAACTCAGCCTCAGGTGAGGAATGGGGATGGGTGGGTGGGCTGCCGACAGTGGGGAGGGGGGGCAGCTGGGTGGGTTGGGCTAGGCCAGGAGTAGACAACCTTGGCTCTTTTATGACTCGTGGACTTCCAACTCCCAGAATTCCTGAGCCAGCATGGGGGAACTGTGGCCCCTTCATGACTCGTGGACTTCAACTCCCAGAATTCCTCAGCCAGCATGGGGGAACTATGGCCCCTTCATGACTCGTGGACTTCAACTCCCAGAATTCCTGAGCCAGCATAGCTCAGCTTGGAAACCTCTTCCTTTCCCCTCAGCATGGCTGGCTCAGGAATTCTGGGAGTTGAAGTCCACAAGTCATAAAAGAGCCAAGGTTGCCTACCCCTGGGTTAGGCTGTGGTGCTACCTTTCTTCTTCTTCTTCTTCTTCTTCTTCTTCTTCTTCTTCTTCTTCTTCTTCTTCTTCTTCTTCTTCTTCTTCTTCTTCTTCTTCTTCTTCTTCTTCTTCTTCTTCTTCTTCTTCTTCTTCTTCTTCTTCTTCTTCTTCTTCTTCTTCTTCTTCTTCTTCT